GGGGAGACGGGCCTGGGGGGTGAATTTTAAGCGAGCCCCTCTGTTTGGGGGGGGGGGAATATACAAGTGATCACCAGGGGGCGCTGCTGTACCTGGAACAACCAGCCTGTCGAGTCAGGCAAGGCGGGGGAGGTAGTATCTTATATCTTACTAACAGAACACGTGGATGGGATCATGAGCTGTCGTGGGCACAGCCCTCTTCTCCAGATGACCGGAGTGTTGGAAGTCCAGAACCAACATATATAAATAAATGTTGGTCCTAGACAGCCAACACTCCAGTCATTTGAAGAAGTGGGCTGTGCCCACAAAAGCTCATGATACCATCTATGGCGGCGCGTGGGGGTTCCCCCGCCTCCTGCACCCCCGTAATGGCACAGACAGACTCCACCAGCCAGTAGAATAGAGGGAGTTTATTGCTTCTCCAGATACAGCACAGCACAGATGTAATCCGGTTACAGGGCCAGGCCTAGGATGCCTCAACCCCCCTTGAGATGGGGGAGCCTGGGCCCCTAAATCCCAGCCCTTTGCTTAGGCTGCCTCCTCCATGATTTCAGGCAGATCCTCAAACTCTCTTCCAGCCCTGCCCCCCAGCCAGGTGCTGGTCTCTGCCCTCCTTCCTTTGTCCCTTCCTGGGAGGCTGAGCCGGGGTGTCTGGGTTAATCCACATTTGGGAAAGTCAGTGAGAATCTCCCATCGCAGCGCAGGGGGACCCCGGGTCTCAGACAGCCCCCCCCACTACGCCCGACCATCGACATGTTTTGTGAGTCTATAAAGTGCTACCAGACTATTGGTTGTTTTTTCAGTTTCTCTTTTCTGGGGTGTCTGCTGGTGAGAGGCGCAGGTTTTGGAGCCACGCGCTTCGGCAGGTCTGGGAAAGGTGCCCTGAGTGTCAGAGTAACAGACAAGGTGGAACAGATTAGTTTAGCATAAGCAGGTGACCTGAAAGGGTGTGTGAATGTCTCCCTTAGATAAATCTTTACACACAGGAAGGCCGGGACAGAAAGCTGGAAAAGAAAAGAAAAGGTGGCAGAGTGTTTGCTACTGGATGGGACCCCTAATCCAACGTTAGGGGCCCTGGAGGCGTTCTGAGTTCTAGAATCATTTCAACGGTTCTGGGGTTCCCATTCTAGTCAGCAAAGAGGAGAGCGTCCGGGCTTTCCATGGGGGTGGAAAAGCAAACTCAGTAGTTCAGGCTTGATTCCTCGGACTTTTCATCAAATCTCTACATGCCGAAGGGCTGGGCTTTATGAGAGCATCTAGAAACCACCCTTGTGTGAAAGCTACTCCGGACGCTCCCCAGATGTTTGCTTCCCCTGGGGAGTCAGCCCCATCGGAGGCAGATTCTCAGAGGTGATTCCCTCTCCTGACTCAGCAAAGACTTCAAGGCTGTGTCTAGACTGGCAAGTTTTTCCGCAAAATCATCTGATTTTGTGGAAAAACTTGCCAGCGATCTACACTGGCCACTTGAATTTCCGGAAAAGCACTGACGATCTCATGTAAAATCATCAATGCTTTTCCGGAAATACTATGCTGCTCCTGTTCGAGCAAAAGTCTTTTTCCAAAAGACTTTTGTGCAAAAGGGCCAGTGTAAACAGTATAGTACTGTTTTCCGCAAAAAAGCCCCGATAGCGAAAATGACGATCGGGGCTTTTTTTTTTGCGGAAAACCATGTCTAGATTGGCCACGGATGCTTTTCCGCAAAAAGTGCTTTTGCGGAAAAGCATCCTGCCAATCTAGACGTGCTTTTCCGAAAATGCATTAAAAGCATTTCCGGAAAATCATGCCAGTGCAGACGTAGCCCCAGAGTAGAGAGAGTTTCCAAGCACCCAATTTCTCCCAGCAAGTGAGGGGCGTACTGGAGAATCTTCCTCTGCCTTTGGAAAGAGGAGTTTTCTCTCTTGGGCTGTGTCCAGACTCAGGGGTTTTTTCGAAAAAAGTAGCCTTTTTTCGAAAAAAAACTTCACCTGCGTCTAGACTGCAGCCACATTCTTTCGAAATTAAATCGAAAGAACGCGGCTTTTCTTTCGACGGCGGTAAACCTAATTCCACGAGGAAGAACGCCTTTTTTCGAAAGTGCTCTTTCGAAAGAAGGTGTTCTTGAAAGCAAACAGGGCTTTTTAGAAAGAGAGCATCCAGACTCACTTGCTGCTTTCTTTCGAAAAAGCGGCTTGCTTTTTCGAAAGAAAGTTCCGCGTGCAGTCTAGACACTCTCTTTCGAAAGAGGCTTGCAGTCTAGACATAGCCTTGGTCTCTGGCATGACAGGGATCTGGCTTCTGTCTCGGGGTGCGGTTAAATGTACCGAATGGCTAAAGGAGGCAGAGGCATTCTCAGGGTTGCCTGGGTGACATGACAGGGATCAAGTGCATCACCTACAGAAAACCAGGGAGCAGGAACCACATGGGAGTCAGTGCTACCATGAAGGGACTAACAATTGGATAAAGCAGCTGCTCCAGACCAAACGTACAGATTGAACCTCCAGTCCAGAACTCTGTGGTGTTAGTGAGATGCAAGTCCACTTATCGTGGGTGTGGCCAAGTTTCGCACGGTCCCATAAAGTGTGTTTACAGCCCCCAGTCCTGGCTCTCAGGGTTCCTTGCTGCTATTTAGCTCTAATTTACCCCTATGTGTCCTCGAAGAGCCCAGCAAGCTATAGAAGCGTGCGTCATGCTGCTAGAAAATATTGATTTCCCATGGTTCAGCAAATTCTCTGCTTTGGCCCCAGTCAGGTCTCAAGGGCACTGGACTACAGAGATTCAACCTGTACCACAAATGTGGGTATAAAATAAGTGGGAGTGGCTGGGCTCGGAGTTTGCCTTTACAAGCCGGCCTGCCCCACCCCACAACCCTCCCGCTAGCTGGAGGGACAGGAGGAGAGGCAGCTCTGCTTCTAGTCCCTGAAAACTCCCGTAATTTATTGCCACGGATGCATCCCTGTGGGCCCTTCCTCACCTTCCCCACACCACGCCGGGGAACGGCTCATTCAGAAATAAAGCTCCCGGCCACACTCGAGAACTTGGGAGCGCAATGGATAGAAATCCCCTGCTGACAAGACTGTGTCTCCTGAAGGGAAGCTGCTTCCTGGCTAGCGAGCAACCGAGGCCGGACAGAGTTTGGTGCTAGCAGGCGCTGGGGCTCTGAGAACGGAGCTGTGTGGAGGGATGGGGCTGGAAATCTAGGACACCCCCCAGCCCCGGCTCTCCTCCCAGCATACAAGGGACTCCCCTTGAGTTAGAAATCCCCTGCTGACAAGACTGTGTCTCCTGAAGGGAAGCTGCTTCCTGGCTAGCGAGCAACCGAGGCCGGACAGAGTTTGGTGCTAGCAGGCGCTGGGGCTCTGAGAACGGAGCTGTGTGGAGGGATGGGGCTGGAAATCTAGGACACCCCCCAGCCCCGGCTCTCCTCCCAGCATACAAGGGACTCCCCTTGAGTAGGAACACGGGTAGCTTGGCTTTCCAGAGGAGCCGCCGCCCTGCTTTGGCGGGGAGGAGCTTCGGAGGGGGCCCCAGCCG